CTATCTCATAATTATGAGATAGCTATCTCATAATTATGAGATAGTCTCTCATAATTATGACTTAGCTATCTCATAATTATGACTTAGCTATCTCATTATTATGAGATACTATTATGAGATACTATCTCATAATAATGAGATACTAAGTCATAATTATGAGATACTAAGTCATAATTATGAGATACTATCTCATAATAATGAGATAGCTAAGTCATAATTATGAGATAGCTAAGTCATAATTATGAGATACTATCTCATAATAATGAGATAGCTAAGTCATAATTATGAGATAGCTAAGTCATAATTATGAGATACAAGTTTTATTTTTTTTATCAGGGTGGCGGAAATGGGCTTCCATACCAAAGGGCCCAGTTTGCTGTAGAAAAAATATATAGACGTTTATTTATTAATCTGTTTGGATGCTTTTTTTTAAACCAAACTTAAATTAAACAGACTTCCTTTGTTTTCCTTCATTATAAAGAAAAATCATTCTGTATGCAAGCTCTTAATCACCTGAAGCCCAAACCCAGGGCAAAATCGTGCTAGACCACAACACTTCCGGTCTGCTGGCATCGATCACGTGACAAGTTCTCGGTCTCAGCTGATTCATTTCATTGTTTCCTCAGCGGTAACTGTAGCCGTCTGTATGGCTGTGTGTTTGTAATGCAGTAGCTTATTTGTAAAAAAGTTTCAGGCAGGAACATGGAGCGGTACGGTTCTGACACGGAGAAGGACGAGCAGCAGAAGCCGCTTCTTCAACGAGGGCACGACGGCAAAGTGCGGAGAGGTGAGAGGCTTGAAACCGCCCTCTGTTAGCAGCTAACAGGCTAAAAACTCCTGGACCAGATGTCTGAGGCGCAGCTCAGGTTCTCACTGTTTTAACACCAACACAACAGGCTGCATGTTTTAATTAGTGGCGGTAACAATCATCTTTCAAACTAAGTAAACATGACATTTTCAAGCGTCGCCCACACATGTACGGCTTTTGTTTACATCCGCCTTCATTATTAAACCGGTTTAACTGAATCTGTCAGGTCTTTTTCTTATTTTTTATTTATTTTGTATTCAAAGTACCTGCAGGTGCTACTTCTGCAAAGTGTTATCCACAAGGTGCAGACACTTTTTTTTTTTACAATCAGGTTATCTCGTTTTCTGACTTTTATTTATTTATTTATTTATTTTTACCTTCACATTGATTGTTGAAGTCATACTGTTTTTCTTTCTGATATAAGATTAGCAATGGAGCTGAAGTAATAAAAGTACAGGAGGGTCATCTGAGCAGGTAACTGGATCGTGTTATGCAACATAGACACTTTAAAAGTAGTAAAGTTAAACCATATAGTGGCATGAAAACACATAAACATCTGCTTAAAAGCTTGACTTAACTGTAAAGTTGTTTAATGATCACCTGGAAGCAAATCATCCTAAACCTTTTATCAGCACATTTTGTAGTTTTTTCTACAATCTAAATCAGTTGCTTCATATTTTTTCTTTTATTTTTCAATGTGTAGCATAATTATTGTTAGGCTAGAATTTCATAAAAATCCAATGCAGAAAGTCACGTCTTAAAGGAAAATATAATTATTCTCATGGTGCGCTACTGAGTTTCACTGTCACAAGTCTTTTTGGCAACAAACGCTTACATCAACACAGATTTTCACACTGGATTATCTGTTCATCAGCTTTCATTGATGTTCTTTGATTTAATTATTGATTTTGTCACACTGCAGCCCCTGTGTGCTGTTCCTCGCGATACGGCCTGGCGCTGCTCTCCAGCTATGGCTTCTTTGTGGTCTACTCCCTGCGGGTGAACCTTAGCGTGGCGATGGTGGACATGCTCAACGCCACCCACCAGTCCAGCGTTAACCACAGCGGCACGGTGTGCCCTGCTCACGACATCCCTCCAGAACCCAAACACAACCGCACGGTGAGCAATAATGTCACGTACAACAAGACTTTCTTTTATGTCTTAACTGTCATTCTCATTTAACTTTTTTTTTTCTCTATTTCACAGGCCAGTGTATACAACTGGGACTCTGAGACCCAGGGCTGGATCCTGGGCTCCTTTTTCTATGGCTACATCCTGACACAGATACCTGGAGGGTACCTGGCCGGCCGCTATGGACCCAAGTGGCTGCTGGGCTTTGGGATTCTGGGAACCGTATTTTTTACACTACTTACCCCTGTGGCTGCCGATCTGGGTGCAAGCTACCTCATTGCTGTGAGAGTTATGGAGGGGATTGGGGAGGTATGTGACAACTGACAAAAATAATCATTGTCCCAATGAGACAGAGCAATAACCAGATTGTTTGTGTAAGTCAGTGTACCCGCATTAACATTCTCCTGTTTGTGTTCAGGGTGTCACATTTCCTGCAATGTACACCATGTGGGCAGCCTGGGCCCCTCCACTGGAGAGGAGTCGACTGCTCACCATTACATACATTGGTAAGACGGCACAAAGGAACACTTAGGCTGTAAAACCTACGTACACCTGGACTTATTTATCTAATTGATTAGATATTTAATGTAGAAAAATGTTAAATTGTTGGTGTTTTTTGGATTTTGAGGAGTGCGTGTTTCCTGACCATTGAATAAAAAGTATATCTGTGATGGACTTTTTCATTTTCCACAATATAATGTAGAAGCCAGTGAAAGGTTGAATTCAAAATCTTAACCAGTCAGCACATTTTTTCTACATTGTCCAAATTCCTTGCATTATCTCCTCTAAAACTGGTTGTTTTCGACAATATAAAGAATCCTAGCTAAAACCACAAGTATTTTATTAGTGCTAAATCCAGTTGCAACATATAGGATGATCCACTGCACAATATGCTGTAAGTGATGGCACCTTGGATGAAACTGTTAAACTTTCCAATTTCTGTTCTGCTTCTTCGGAAATTTCCAACTTAAATTGGCCACACTAACCTCTGAAAGTTATCACTACCTATCTTAAATGGTTTTTATCATATCACAACTTACACTAATCAGTAATCACTATGAGGAACAAACACTCACAGCCATAGATTGTGAGAGTGTGGAAAATCTGGTCTGTGTAATTGATTTGACTCTAACCCAAAAATCAGTAAAGTAAAATGTTCAGTCTTCATCAGACCTGAACTACAACATGTGTTTTGTGGCTCTGTTGTTTAATTTTTGTCTTTTCTTTCATCACAGGAGCCCAGCTGGGGACAGTCATAGCTCTTCCTTTGTCTGGTGAAATCTGCTTCTACCTGGACTGGACCTATGTCTTCTACTTATTTGGTAATACACATAGGCTGTCAGTAGTTTAAGGAAAAAAATAATCTGATTGGTTTAATTGATGTGAGGAGTTATAACAGTTGCAGTACATCACTTTTAGTTCTGTGACGTGGAATGGCAGAATTTCACAAACAAAATAGAATTCAGTACAAAACGTGGCATCTTACAGAATCCACTCATTTGGACGAGTAGGTAGGAGTTTCTGAGGTATTTTGGCCGCTGCTGCCCTCTGTACCGGCCGTTACCTGATTACGTGAGGTGGGCTCTCTGCTCCACAGACAGGAAACAATAGGTTAGCCGTGACGGAGAGACTCGCTAAAACATCGATGTGAATGTGAAGCTTAGTGCAAAGGGAGATTTTGCTGTATCGGGAGAACAAATTTTCTGTAAGTTTTGTCAGCACACGATCGAGGAGACACGTAAGAATACATGTGATGACCACTTCCAGTCAAAGACTCACATCAGAGCGAACGCCTGCGAACTCTTCAACATTCTGCTACATCAGTAGAAGCGAGGTGTTGGTTTGTGTGATTTTTATTGCTGAAATTCCAACTTTTCCTCTGAACTCTAATTTTTTTTACAAAGGTAAGACTCTTCTTAAAATGTGAAATAGTTGAGATTCTTTACTTTGCACATTTTTTTAAAGAGGTACGTACGGTTTTGAATACCTCTGACAGCCGGAAGAAGTAAAAATGATCTTAGGTTCTTTCTATTCATTAGGCGAGTGTGCACAAAATGTTTGTAAGTTTTGTGTTTCTTTAAGAAACACATTTTCATGCCAAGTTCAAATCTAAAGCATTTTTATTTTACAATGGATAACTTTTTAATGTGAGATTCTCTTACACGAAAAGGTTTTTTGTTCTTAACAAAAAAAATTGAAATACCTTGCAAAAGCATTTAATGTCCTGCTGAACCACAGCTACTGTATTTGTGAAAGTGAAATAACATTGAAATCTTTGGCTATTCATTTTTGCTTACATTTTTTTCATTGACTTCATACACTTTAGGTTAATAAATACGTTTATAACAAAGATGTGGAATTCAGAAAAAATTGAAATTTAGAAAAATAAAAATGAAAAGCAGAATTTGTGAAAAATTTAATCAATTTTATTATGGTCCTACAGATGGTCTTTTAATGTCACTGTCTCAGTCTGTGTACAGGTGTTTAACTACATAGAGTAAATCATACTTAAGATGCTTTTTCGTGACAGGCCTTGTGTAAATTCCTAATTTAAGCACCGTAATGCTTTAAAAGAAGGTGCTGTAATTGAGTTATGGAATGGTTATATCAAAGCAAACTAACTAAAAATAAAATAGTGTGTATTACAGAGTAATAATTAGTGATGAAAGTCTCTGGAATTCTTGCCGTAAGTGTCAGTTTTGTAGTCAACACCTTTTCCCCATATTCAGCTGTTTTCTTGAGTCTGTTCCTCTTTGCTCTTTGCAGAAACGATGATTTAGCACATCGAAGAGGAATATCTGCACGTGTCACCAGTTCTACAATAGTAACTTTGCTCTGCCTTAACTGCTGCTTGAGCTTTGCACCATTTCAGAACAGGGGTTTCAAAGCATCATAACTGAATAAGTCTCGTGTTTTGACTGTGTAGTAAATATGTCATGTTTTAAAGGCTTGAGTTATTATTTTTTTAAACCATTGTTTACTTATTTGTCCAGGTGTTGTCGGCTTGGTGTGGTTCATCTTGTGGGCTTGCCTCGTCTTTGACAGTCCCAACACTCATCCACGGATATCAGAGCAGGAGAGACTCTACATCACGAACGCACTCAAAAACGAGGTAGCATTGCAGTTGCAATTATATATAGACAAGAGCGGATACATGTTTTAAGAGTCGTGTTAAAGTGTTGGAGTTACAGCATACTGCATCATGCTTTAAACACGTCGCAATAAAAGTGCTTGCAGGCTTTTTTGACAGCTAGACTCTGTTACATTATCTCAGTATATTACACAAATTCAGCTCCTTATCGGCCTTATTCAGTTGCCTGATGATGAAATCAATGAGTCTGCAGTTAGTCTGCTGAACAGCTGCCCTGAACAATGCCATGTAAACAGTGTTGCAAGAGTCACCACTGCTAATAACTGAACAGTAGTATTTGAAAGCAATGTTCAGCAATGTTAAAGCTGCACAAGCATATTACTGGGAACTTTTATAGGCCTGAAGGAATTTATTGGGGTGTTTACACTGACTTTTAAAAACACTACACATTGTATAGTCTTTTATTAGGTGAACAATAATACAGTTCTATGATGTGGCGGCTGTGGTTGAGTGGTTAGGGGAGTCCTGGAACCGGAAGGTCACCGGTTCGATCCCCGTCCAGTCGACTCAGTCGTTGTGTCCTTGGGCAAGACACCTTACCTGCCTTGCCTACTGATGGTGGTCAGAGGGTCCGCTGGCGCCTGTGTATGGCAGCCTCACCTCTGTCAGTGCGCCCCAGGGCAGCTGTGGCTACAATGTAGTTTGCCATCAGTGTGTGAATGTAAAGCGCTTTGAGTGTCCTGGATGGATAGAAATGCGCTATATAAGTACAGTCCATTTACCATTTTACCATCTCTGGCTTAAATGATAATTTTATGTGCAGACTGGGTTGTGTGGGCCTCTTGGGCAGGGTCTCACAGACTCAAGAGGCTTTTAGTTAGATACATGTCTGACTTAAAAACAACATAAATAAGAACTGTGATGAACCATTAGGGTGAGGAACAATGTCTGACATCTTGACTCCATGTAGAGACAGCTTGCCGCTTTAACATATGTCATGAGGTGGAGTCAAGATGTGAAGAAGGCTGTTACTTGATGTGTGTTTCCGGGTTTCTGGCCACTGTTTGGCTGATGCCTGTTGGAGGCACATTAAAAGCTAATCAGTCCACAGCTGTGTCCGAATGGTTTTGTATGGCTCACTCAAACATTCACGTCATTATTATTATTATTATTAACTGGTATTAGATTTGAAGAGGTAAAGGGTAACAAACACTGCTTATTTTTTAACAGGCCAACATCTTGGCTTCAAGTTGGATACACTAATTGAACTGTATTTATTTTATACACCAGCAGGGGGAGACAAAGATATTTTCATGAGTCAGTGTTTCATTCAGGAGGAATGAAAGGAGGAAGGGAAATTCAATGTAGAAGAGGGAAAAATCATCTTCCTTTAAAAAAATGTTTATTTCCCTTTTTTTCACAGAACAAAACTGAAACACATCCTGTTTAATTTACAAGAAATTATTTTACTTTCATAAATTGCAACATGTTTAAGTTCTTAAAGCAGAGGTTCGCAAACTGGGGTCCCAGGACCCCCAGGGGTCCATGAGAGGTATCTTTGGTGTCCTCAAAAAATTTCACTATATGGTTAATTTTGTTTTTATTTTTAAAAATGCATGAAGAACAATGAACTAATAAAACAAACACAATAAACTAAATAAAAATATATATTCCCATGGCATTTAGGGGTTCAAATTCCAATAAATTATCTTTTAAAACAGCATGGGGTTTATCAGGGGGTCCCTGGAACTTTTTTTTTGCCGTTGTAAGGGGTCCCCAGACCCAAAAAAGTTTGAGAACCCCTGTCTTAGAGTGCATGTGGAAGATAAGCAGACCATACACGTTTCATTTCCTAAAGTTTTCAACACGTGTACTCTATAAAAGTGATGTAGAGTACTGCTCTATGACACAGAACTCATTAAATTTGTACTATTTTTTCCCAAAACCTCTAACAATGTTAGAAATCCACCTTTTCTACTTTTCTTCAGCTGTCCACCTCAGCAGGTCACATTCCTTGGCGAGCTATTGTGACGTCAAAGCCGCTGTGGGCCATCGTTGTGGCTCACTTCTCCTACAACTGGACCTTCTACACGCTCCTCACTCTGCTCCCAACCTACATGAATGTCATACTGGGCTTCAGCATACAGCAGGTGGGAGAAAATAACTACTTTCGTAATAGCACTGATACAATGATGGATTTAAAGCCCAAGCAGAGAATCCAAATACATGTTTTAAAGTTTTGCAGATTTTTTGAAGTACATAAAGCACGCAACACAAATAAAGTTATGCACAACTTTTTTTTTATTATTCACTGCAGAATGGATTTCTGTCAGCTGTGCCATATGTGGGCTGTGCTCTGTTTGCTGTGCTGAGCGGCCAAGTTGCTGATTATCTGCGAGAAACTTGCTTCTACTCCACCGTCCTCGTTAGGAAGGCCTTCACTCTTATCGGTATAGATAAGGTTTTTATTTTATTTTTTCATCTGAAACTTTTTACATCTTCATGCCATTATACTCTCAACCATGTCGTACTGTTTACCTGTTTGGTCTCTTACAACAAATGAAATCTTAGAACCCATAGTTAGGCTCTACAACAGGGCCTACAAAATTCATAAAAAAATTCCTGGTTGGACTCATCACTGTACAGTTCTTCACTGTCTGATACCTTGACTTTTCAGAATTATGTTTTGTATAGTGGTATTAATTTATATTTTCAGATCTTCCAAGGTGCCAKTTATGGAACTCTCTGTGCATTGCTGCCCAAATCAGATTCTGGTCATTCAACCAGATCTGTTACAAAAGGACAACTGATATTACCAACTTTTAAAAACTGTTACGGCCAGAGGTCTTTCTTCTATGTTTATACTAAAGCATGGAATGACATTCCTCAAAACATAAAGTCCATTTCAAAACCACGGCCCTTTAAGAAGAATCTTGTTTTATGTGCTGCACAGTGTTTTATGTGCTGCAGAACAGGAACCTGCTGTAAAACAGCAATTATGCTGAGTCGGGCTTGATTTTTAGTAATCTTTTCCTGTTGAATCAATAAATCAAATCAAATCAAATCAAATGCCACATCTTTTGTCTGAGGTGCGGAAATAGCCATCTCGTGTTGTTTCTGCAGGTATGATTGGGCCGGCAGCGTTCCTGGTGGCAGCAGGTTTTACAGGCTGTAATTACAAACTAGCTGTGACCTTCCTCACAATCTCCTCTTCTCTGGGCGGAGTGTCAGCCTCGGGCTTCAACATCAACCATCTCGACATTGCTCCTTCGTAAGAACAGTTCCTGTCTATCACTGGCATGTTCTACTTTTTAATAGATAAGCTTTTGAGAATATATAAAAAACAAAACAATATATTCTCCATAACAGCTGAATGCAATTACTGAGGTTTTGAAGTTTTGTGATATTTTTGGATTAAGAGGTAACTGAAGTTAATGCATTGAAATTTTAAATTACAAAAAATAAATGGTGATCTTAGTTGTTTCAGTCATCATTTGTAAATTATTGTATATTTAGTGTCAGTTGAGCAGTGTTTTGGTGAAGATGCTTTGTGTTAAAAACTCAGGACCTTAATGCTTTTATCTTCACAGGTATGCTGGGATTCTGCTGGGTATCACAAACACGTTCGCTACTATTCCTGGGATGGTTGGACCAGTCATAGCAAGAGCCCTCACTGTAAATGTAAGAAGCGTGTTTGCAATCACACTATATATAAAACAAATTATAGATTCTAGATTTTAAGCTTTAAGTTATTGAGCAGAACAGCAAAAAACATTTAATGTTTTGTGTTACAGCTTATATGAACACAGCACAAAAAGTAAGACAATTTGTGTGTTGTAGATTATTTCTTTGTTGTTACAAACAGTGCTTCTTAGCATAAATCTTGTACCGTTAGAAAGTCTGTTAATTTCCCTTTTAAATGGTGTAAGGAACATGAATTTGTGGGATGAGCAGTAGAGTATGTGGGTTGTGAACATGAAAAATTTGCTAAATCTGTCAAATAGCTTATTTTGCTGTTGCTATTAACACTTGTTTTAAGCTTCTGCCAATCATAAGATTTATGGCCAAGAAGCATTGTTACAACAAAGCAGTAATCTACCAAACAATAATTTCCTTACTTTGTGTTCCAAGTTTATAACGCAGAAGATTTTAGGTGTCCTGACTTCATTGATTTCCTGCTAAAAGTAAAATAACTAGATGAGTCATTTCTGGGCAATTTTAACATTAGCCTCTTTCACAAGTCTGTGAAACCACCGAACAAACCGGTCCAGCTTTAAGCTGCCTCGGTTCATTCATAAATCACTGGAGAGGCCGTCCATGTCCCGCTCACATCTGCATTATAAACTTAGCACACAAAGTAAGGAAATTATTGTTTGGTACATTATGTCAGAACATTATTTCAGAACCCAGCAGTGCAGAACCAAAAGAGGCGTGGAGCAGAATTCAGCTTAGCTGAAGTGAACCACGACGTATTTATTGTGCGACAGACTCGTATCAAAGAAAACAAACTGAATTAACTTATAACTTATTATTCTTTAAACTAACTGCAAAGTTGCTGTTTCGTGTCATCTTTAATATTCCTTCAGTTATAAATCAGTTGAATAATCCTGCAGTCGCTCACTGATCATCAGCTCATTATCATTTTCTGAACCACAGAAACACGGGTTGCTCTTTTACGTGTCAGTCTGCCCGGCTCGGGCTCACTTTACTCGCCTTTCTGCCTTCATGGTTTTTCTGAAGGATCTGAGGACAGAACACACGTCAGTCCCGGACTGAGCTGTCTTTTATAAATGAGGCTGTTATTTTACCAAAATTCCTGAGTTGTATGTTTGAAGGGTATTTAATCATTTTTGTGCTCAATTTTGTCTAGAACACCATAGAAGAGTGGCAGACTGTGTTCTACATCGCGGCTGCCATCAACTTGTTTGGAGCAATATTCTACACTGTGTTTGGACGAGGAAAGGTGCAGCCCTGGGCTGTACACACATCCTTGTCTCATGGAGACTGAGGCAACGGAGAAATAACAAAACCCCTCCCTTTACCATCAACCTCAGACTCGTGTGATGGGTAATCTCAGAGTGAGGCATATTTTTCTGATAGCCAGGTTTACAAACAGTGAGTGAGAGCTCATTGTTTGTTGAGTTTAATTTACAGATGAGACCACAGCCACCGTGAAGAAGAATCAAACTGTGGATAATCAAACAGAAATCAAACAACCAGTTGGTTGATTTACAAAAAAAAAAAGTCCACTGTCAGAAAACAAACAGTATAACATCAAAAACCTCTGTTTGGCTAAGATACAATAAGTCACACAACTCCAGGCTTTTAGAGGTTTCAACCATAAGTCCGTAGAAGCTGACTTCACCTGTTATTTAATCTTTGTGCATTGCTCTATAAAATATATATTATAGAAATTAAGCTATGGGCAAAACTGATCCAGTTTTGTTCCTTTTATTGTTCAGGTTTCTTTAAACATATTTTTTCTCAAAAATCATAAAAAGTTCCTTTCATTTTTTATATTACTGGCAAAGATTTACATTAATCAAAGGTTTACGTTGATCTGATGTTTTTCTGTACCTGTGAATGTAAAGTTTGAGATTATATTAAGTGACTTTAAAATTTGTGCCTAACTGCCAAAAAAGACAGCACGCCATCTGAATTAATGTTGATTTTGGAGTCAACGTTGAGACTTCAGCACATACAGACCCATGAAAGAAAAAAATGGCTTTATGCAAGGTCTTATTTTTAAAATTTGTTTAATATTTACAGAAACTGTTTGTTTTGTTGTATAACATATGTAAATAATTTTATCAGGGCATTTGTGTGTGTTGGTTTTTCCAACCCTTACAGTTGACAGGGAACAACTTTTTTCTAGTTACCGTACTAAACCAATACATTTAGGACACATGTTACATTAATTCTTATCAGCATACAAGCTAAGCTTTTCACAGATAAGGGGAAGATAAAATACTTAAGAGTTTCCTGATGCACAGCTTATCATAGATAAACAGAATTTTGACTTTGTGTCGATTCTCAGGTGTTTTATACCACAGATGGATTCAAAAGGGATAGTTGCTACGATGATGGCCATTTTATGTTTTGAATGTCAGTTAATTCGATCTGATTTTAAATAACCTAGTCACGTTTATTTCTACAAATGTTACTTGATGAGCTAAAACAAAACTAAGCCCCTGGAAATAAACATTAATTTTGGCAGAAACAAATTTGCCACAAGTAGCACCTAGTATATATAATGCACTTGTGCCTTATTTAAAAAAAAAAGTCAAAGAATCAGCACTTTAGACTTCTTTTGTTTCTTAACAAATTTATGTGCTGCTTTTACTTTTTGTTTTTACACAAATGGGACTAAAGGGAGTTCTGTATGGATTTGTACTGAAATTTAAAAAGAAAATTGTAATTGTTTATGTAATTAGCATTCCAGAAACATACTGAATGACTGTCATGTAATGGAAAAAATACATAAAATATATCAGCAAGCAATTCTAACATTGTGTTGAGTTATTATTTCTATAGAAGTCTGTTCAATTAATAGAAACATTAGATTTTCTTTTAGGTCCACCTGACCATTAATCCTTATCTTACTTTCAGTCATCAAATTCATTAGACATATTTACAAATAATGAGCACTATATTACTGCTAAGAAGTTTTTATGGTAATAATTCATTTGGGGAAAAAAAGACTACACAGTACATTTATCTACTCTTCCCCCGTGGCTGCTGCAGGTTATTCAATTCAATTCAATTCAAAAATATTGATCCCAGAGGGAAATTAGGTTATAGTAATTGGCAGACAGCACTATGAAGACTTTAAGAGCATCAGGGTTAATTGTAATCCAGCTAAACTGTCTGGTGAAATCTTCCAACAGAAAACAAATAAGAGCTCAATATCTTAGTTCAATTATCAGACACAACAACCGTGCAGAGGTAAAAGTGTAATAATGTTTTTACCTGAGAGGAATTTGTCTGTAGCGTTAGCAAAATATCTCACGAACCAGTAGATAGATTATAACAAAACGTAACAAAAAGAAAATTCAATATGCCACATGTAAGCAATCTTAGTAAACACAAAGAATAAATGGAGGATTTTACAGCTGTTGAGCTAACATTTGGAGTGGTAGAGCCACTCGGCACAGACTGTGATCACTGTGCAAAGTCTGGTTTTAAAACTGACGACAAATACTGTCAGCAAATACATATCTTGAAAAACAGCATGGGTTTACTTTTCAAAAAGTAAACACTGGATGGACATCAACAACTGATTAACCTTTGAGGTCAGAATTCAAGATGGTAGCCACAGTCAACTGATCTTAGACAACACATCATCAAACACTATGCTACACACATTTTGCTTTGAACTTTAACATTAGCTGTAGGTGTCGACCATTGTCCACAGTATCTCACAAAACACTAAGCAAGTAGTAATGAAACTTCCCAAAACTAATAACAGTGTAGTAAAGCTGATTAACTTTTAGAGTCAGCCCAATTCTAGATGACCATTACATGGTTTTCAGAAAACTGGAAACTCAGTTTTACAAAGATGTTGCAATTACCGCCGCTGCCTACGTGGTGTTATTAAACCGGTATCAATGCCCGGTGATAACCCCGCTCGGTCCGTCGCTGTGATGCAGTGCGGCGGCGGCGGCAGCTGCGCGCGGTCATTACGCANGAGCTATAAACGGATCAGCGTCTCGCCTCAGCTTCTCCGGTCCTGCAGCCACCCTGACACCCGCCAGCTCTCAGGTACGACGCCCGACATAACATTCTTCAATGAGGGGATGGATTCGTTTTAGCTCCCTTTAGAAAATCTTTACTCAACATCATTTTTATTTATTTATTTTAAGGAAATCAGATGCAGGAGGCACGCGTGGTGGTCGCTATTAAATGCGTATCCTGATAACAAAACATGGCGGAGGAGGGTCGACATTCCCCTTACATCCTCCGAACACTGGTTTTGCGGGGAAGGGCTGTGCTATTTTTAAACGGCTTGGTCCTCTTTTGTTTCATGCAGCGCACTGCGGCAGCTGTGACGTTTATTTCTGAGAGATTGAGTTCAGCATCCTGGATGAATGGCTCTCCTGTCCTGGGACTGGGCTCACCTGAAAACATGTCTGACCAAAGCATTTTATACATGCGTTGCAACAGGAGCTGTTCCATAACATTCATGTTAAATGCTCAACAAATATAAGCCATTATAATTACCTAACTTTGCAGGGCTTGAATCTTATTGTTAAGGTTAATCACCATAAGAGCACTCTTGTGTTAATAATGTCTGCTGTGCATTAACCTGCATGCAAAGCACTGCAGTGTCAGAGAAATGGCTGCTCCACTGTCAAGAGAGTTGGACAAAATGGTGGATTCTGGTTCACAGTGAAGCTGCACTGTGTCTGAGCTGAGATGTCTGCATGAACCGAGGACAGGAGAGACAACTGGTTTCGAAAGTGAAGAGCAGGGGTAGGTTAAAGAGTAGGAGAGGCAGAGAGACAACACTGTGTGTATGTGGGGCCACTGATATTTGTTATCATTAGACACAGCAGCACCAACAAACACTGGCCCAATAAGACCTCTCATTATTATAAACCCAAAGAAATCTGAGATGCCATAAACAGCTATTGTTTTGTCCATGAAACATTTAGCAGCTCATGCAAAACATTTTACTGTCAGTAAATATCTGTTGCGTAGAAGCTTTCTTTTTCCTGCTTTGCCAACCATCTGTGTACTGTCCTGACTGTAACCTAACCCCAGCTTCAGTGGACATTCTCGTGACTTCACCCCTGGTCGAGTCATCATGGGAAAGGAGAAACTCCACATCAATATCGTTGTGATCGGTCACGTGGACTCTGGCAAGTCCACCACCACGGGCCACCTCATTTACAAGTGTGGCGGCATTGACAAGAGGACCATCGAGAAGTTTGAGAAGGAAGCTGCTGAGGTATGAACATGGAGATAATTTTTTTTTTTTACTTACATATTTAAAAGACATCACTACACAAAGGAATGAAATATACTTTGTTACAAGTCAATTGTCTTAAATTATTATTATTATCTCTTTCCAGATGGGAAAAGGGTCCTTTAAGTATGCCTGGGTCCTGGATAAGCTGAAGGCAGAGAGGGAGCGTGGCATTACCATTGACATTTCACTGTGGAAGTTTGAAACGAGCAAGTACTATGTGACCATCATAGACGCTCCAGGCCACAGGGATTTCATCAAGAACATGATCACTGGGACCTCCCAGGTTAGTAACAGAAGGAGGCATAGCGACTCGATGTGCATTAGTAGCTATAGTCTGTGCTTAGCTTTATTGTGCCTGTACTTTGAGATAGTTTCATCCCTAAAATAACAATCCTCAAAAGCTGCTTCTAAACTATTTATGTTCATCTTTTACATTCTTAGGCTGACTGTGCTGTCCTCATTGTGGCAGCAGGAGTAGGAGAATTTGAGGCAGGCATTTCCAAGAATGGACAAACCCGTGAGCACGCCCTGTTGGCGTACACTCTTGGAGTAAAGCAGCTCATTGTGGGCATCAACAAGATGGACTCAACTGAGCCAAACTACAGCCAGAAACGCTATGAAGAAATTGTGAAGGAAGTGAGCACCTATATCAAAAAGATTGGTTACAATCCGGACACTGTTGCCTTCGTGCCCATTTCAGGCTGGAATGGAGACAACATGCTTGAGCCCAGCCCAAATGTAAGTAGAACGCACACAGGACAGCAACGCTAACATTACAAGAGTCAGTAGATGAGCAAGCTGAGCATTTGTATACTGCTTTGTTTGCCTCATGCTAGGTCTGGGCAGCCCCGGCTTAAATAACCAGCAGCACCAAAACAGCATGTTTCTAATTACTAAAATTTCAGGGTATTCCAACTGATCACAAGCTACTATTTTACTGTTTATGAATTCAAATCAACCTGTAAAATGGGAACACAAAATGATGCAACTATTGGACGATATACTGCAAGCCAGTGATACTGATTATCTGAGCTTACAACTTTTCCATTAACAATCATTTTATTTTATGAAATATTTTGTGTTATATTGTTTTCTATTTGCAGATGACATGGTTTAAAGGGTGGAATATCAACAGGAAGGAGGGCAAAGCATCTGGGACCACACTTCTGGAAGCTTTAGATGCCATTCAGCCTCCAACCCGCCCAACAGACAAACCTCTACGTCTTCCCTTGCAGGATGTCTACAAGATTGGAGGCATGTAGTGTCTGATAAATTGTGCAGATAAAATTCAGTGTACTGTTAGTTAACAAAATAGTGTAATTGTGACCTTCCGAAACATTAAACATCTGGTTTCATTTCAAAGCAGCAAATTCAGCAATTCAGTGCAGAAGTACTTTGATCTTCATTTTAATGTTCATTGTATATCGACACCTTCTTCCTCAGGTATTGGAACTGTGCCTGTTGGCCGTGTAGAAACAGGCCTGCTGAAGCCTGGCATGGTTGTGACATTTGCCCCTGTAAATGTGACCACTGAGGTGAAGTCTGTGGAGATGCATCACGAGGCACTGACAGAAGCTCTCCCAGGTGACAATGTGGGCTTCAATGTTAAGAATGTGTCCGTAAAGGACATTCGTCGTGGCAACGTAGCTGGTGATAGCAAAAACGACCCTCCGCAGGAAGCAGCTAACTTCACAGCTCAGGTAAACACTTCAAAAAGATCTATTAACAAAGATGAAAAGTGCCTAAGCTTGTTTTCTTATTTTGGAACTATTTATAGTAACACATTATTTAAATGAAGTCTAAAAGTAATTTTTACTTCTTGCGAGGAGCTATTTTTAGTTTTTCTCAAAAAGGCAAAAATCATAACTACACCTCTAAATGGGAAATGGTTGTTTTTTTGTTTTTTATTTAACGGGCCATTCATTTTGCTTCTTAGGTGATCATCCTTAATCACCCAGGCCAGATCAATGCTGGTTATGCTCCGGTTCTAGACTGCCACACTGCTCACATTGCCTGCAAGTTTGCAGAGCTCAAGGAAAAAATTGATCGCCGCTCTGGCAAAAAGCTGGAGGACAACCCCAAATCTCTCAAGTCTGGAGATGCTGCTATTGTAGATATGATTCCTGGGAAGCCGATGTGTGTTGAGAGCTTCTCTGAGTACCCTCCATTGGGTAAGTTTAAGGGTAAAGAATTGGTGGATTTTCAGCAGCCTTTCCAACTCATGTTTGACTCCAGAGAAATATTGACGACACTGTTGAGTTGTGCTAGGCAGAGTTCTTTTTTTTACTTTTTTTCACAGGTCGTTTTGCTGTACGTGACATGCGTCAGACAGTGGCTGTTGGTGTGATAAAAGGCGTGGAGAAGAAAGTCTCTACAACTGGTAAAATCACCAAGTCTGCTCAGAAGGCCCAGAGGAACAAATGAATGTTGTGCTGCTCTGCCGACCACAAGGTCTACCAAGGCAGGACCCCGCTCATTCGACTCCATCGTACGATTGGCCGCTTCAACTTAATAATTAAAGACTGGTTGTTCATCACAATGCATCGCAAAAGCATTCGAAGGAAAGAAAAATGGTAGAGCTTCATTTCCTGTTGTGGCACCCCTGACTTCATTTCAAAGGTTAGACTACGTATACGTATTAAAAGGATTCTTAGTGTGGACTGTTGATTTGGTTCATGGCAATACATTTTATCGTGAGAAACTGAACATAGAGAGTTATAATGTAACTTATCAACCTAGCTGTCTGGAGTGCTCGTTCTGCTGTTTTTACATGTCCTGCTTGTAGTGTTTGTTTGCAACTACATGGTGCTCTACACAAGTCAATGACAATAGTTACAACTATCTAGTTAAAGCTGATCTCTAAGTAGTGTATTAATGGAACATGTGTTGTATTTAAGCTTTAATACCATTAAATTAAAAAAGGTCTAAATTTGTCCTTGGGGGCATGGATTAGACTGATTCTGAAAGCACTTTGACATTTTGCTAACTTTGCACTTGAAATGAAGCGTAAATTGACAAAAGCAACTGCACCTTATTGTAAGACGGCATGAGCCTCTTTGCAACATTAAACATTTTCAACCAATTTAATTTGTTATCTGACAATATTGTGTGTGACAGGTCTCTAACTTTAAAGTGTGTCTGGCAAATCAAAATCCTTACAAGGTCAACTTTTATCCACTAGATGTAGCTATTTGTTAAGAAATAAAATAACCATATGTTTTTTTTCTTCTTAGTTATTGTATGTATGGAGCAGCACAAAACCTGTTAGTCTGCTAACTCATCTAATCCCCAAGGACATGCAAATGTCTTCATGCAGAATAGTTTAAGGCCAGTCAGCCAAACATGGTGTGGGCGTGTAACAGGAAGTACATTTTGAGTATATTTCGGCACTTCAGTTTCATTTCAGTCATTTCATCATGGGTGGCAGAGGAAAACCACGGAGGGCAAAGAGTCCTAATTTAAACCTGAAAGAATTTAATCCAGAATCTCCAGTGAGTTTGAGTCCTACAACCTTCGAAGAAGAGGAGCAGAATGAAACCACAAAAAGACCAAAGAAGAGAGACCAGCAACAACGAAAACAACCCGAAGAGAAGCCGTGTGCACCAAAAGCTGTAAGAGGAAGGACCACAAAACATTCTACAGAGGAGGCTAACAAGCAGCAAGATGTGCCAGCAGACAGCACAAAAACAAAGACGTATTCTGCCAGGAAAAATTCTAAGGAAACGACCCCAGGGGATGCTGCACACACACAGCTGAAGCCAGAGACACCCAAGGATATCATAAAGGCCCCTCTAAAAATCTCTAAAGTCAAAGCCCCTAATGGTAAGGCCGAAGACTTAAATACAGAGGTCCAACCTGTACAGAAAATAAAGACAGAGCCGAGTACAGCAGCAACAACAAAGTCGGCTGCTGCAAACACGACAAGAGATAAAACGTTTGCTAACAAAGCTGCATGTGGGAGGACTGAAGCACAGCCAGATGGTTCTGAGGAATTTCTAACAGGCAGGGCTGAGGACAAGGAAAAAGTTTACAGGATGATTCTGGGTAAACTGAAGATTAAGAAGGTGGATAGATCTAAAGCAGCTCATGTCATAAATGATTTTATAAAACAGCTAATCGAATATTTGAAAAAAAGTGAAAGTTTCAAGGAAGTCGAACAACTACGTACAGGAAGTTACTATGAAAACCTAAAAGTAAGTCTATTTTATTTCCTCAATATATTAAGTGTACACATGGTTCATATTATTCTATTAATTGAAGTTTATTACACGATCTTATTTATCTGTATACAGATTTCTAATCCAGACGAGTTTGACGTCATGCTGCCCATCCCGGTTGCTCGAGTTCAGATTGACCCTTTTGGAACTAATGGAGCCTTTTATAGTGTGCAATTAAAACGTGGTCCGGAGCCATTGCTGAAATTCCAAAAGAACATTTTATCCAGCTATGAAATGCTCAAAGACTTCAGAGAGGAAGTGAAGACATTTGCTAAAAAACAGTCAGGTCAGTGACACGGTTAAGACCTTGATTGTGTGCAATGCATTCATCATGACAATCCGTGTAACATTCCTAATGTAAAAGTTCTGGAATGTAAACTCATAAATATTGCAATACTCGTTCAGCTGTTAACACTGCATTAGCATGGCAATTTTATTAAAAACGATTATGCTTGTAAATATAGAATATAATAATAATCAGTTTAAACTGATTTTTCTTTATTATTTCAGAATGGAAGCTGACAAGAAAGAAACCAGGCTGCCCTGCAGTGACTCTGACTACAGAAATAGAGTCAACTACCATTTCCCTAGATGTTGTCCTCTGTCTTGAAGTTAGGTCAAGCTGGCCACAATTCACCAAAGATGGTTTTAAAATTGAGAGGTGGCTTGGAAAAAAAGTAAGGCAGGATCACAAATGGAAGCCATTTTATCTTGTCCCAAAATATGAAGGCAAAGGAAACGTAGAAAAGGATGGTGTCCTTGCCAAAGGTAAGCATTATTTACTTGAATTTCAAAACTTTAGGAAAACTAAACAGAAAAAAGTCACTGATGATGAAGAAATAAATAAACTAACAATATTTGGTTTCGTTTTCCACTGAAATGAAAAAAAAAAGGAAAATTAAACAGAAATTTGCCTTTGTTCAATGAAAAATAAATAAATAAATAAATAACAGGACTATGGTATATGCTTAATTGATAGATATTGAATGAAGAAAAACAATAATTCACTTAATGTGGTTTAGTCATAAACTGTACACATAATTTTTAGTCACGCTGTATGATTTCAGAAGTTACAGCACTAAGCAAGTCACATTTCTTGAGTTAGTCAATGTTTTTCAATTTCTCAAACATCTTTGCTAATACACAGTTTGTCTTCTAAACCTTACAGAAGCTTGGAGGGTTTCCTTTTCTCACATTGAGAAGGACATAATGAAAAATCATGGATCGGAAAAGACATGCTGTGAAAAAGGCGGAGCAAGTTGCTGCAGGTAAGAGTTTATTAAATACAGAAAATACAGCTCACAAGGCAACATACTGTAGTATTTGAATACAATACTAACAGATAAATTTCACAAACTAACACTATGGCATAGTATTGATGTTGATTAAATTAAATGTTTAAACCATCTCATAAATAGTACTAATCCTATGAAGTGAATAAAGCTATAACAGACAAGGTGAAAACCAACACAAAGAAAGGGGTCAGAGCTGATTCTTGATGCAATCCCACCAGCACCTTGAACCTATCCATCACTCATACACTACACTGTTCTGCTGTCCTCCTACATGCTCTGTACCTAGTTAATATACTTCTCTGATACAGTTTCTCCCTCAGCACCCCGTCATATTTTTTTAAGTCCTAAAGACACAATGAAGTTCTTTCTGACCCTCTATACTTAATCAGCATTCCTAAAGAAAGACGGCGTCTTTGGTGGTCTTTAACATGAAACCATACTGCTGCTAGTTGTCTAGCTTGGTGAACTCTCTCAAATCTTCATTTTGTAGCTCATCAAATTAATTTACCTGTAGTTGACAACTCTGTACATCACCTTTGTTTTAAAAAAGATAGGCCCCAGCACACTTCTCCATCCCTTAGTCATATTCTCACTGTCAATAAATGCTATTCAATAATTTAGTCAAAAAACCCAATGCCATCTCTGAGACATTTCCAAACCTCCACTGGTATGTCATCAGAAGAGGAATATAAAGTCCTTAAAAACTAAGTAAAAGTAAAAATACCTTAACAGAAAATTACTTTCATAAAAATGAATTTTACTGATAAGAAAACCACTTCCCTAAAATCATAAAACTGCTCACAATAATGGGGAAAGTAGAAGTACTTTTACACACACTCAAAGAAATGAAGTGTTGAATTTACTTAACCAAACTGGTCCCACAAAACTGAGTTGAGTAAATTGATCGATTTTAAGAAAATATGTAAATCGCTTTACATTTGCTTAACTCGGTTCAGTGGACATAACACTTTAATTTTTAGAGTCCCTAAACAACTCTTTTTATGATGATTTCTGGTCATATTTAAATTTGTTACGTATAACTAGGTGTTAAGTTTTAAAGTGAAGAAGTAAAAGTATAATTTTTATGTTTTGAATGTAATGAAATAAAAAAAAAGGTTATGATTAAAAAAATACTTGGCAAAATCACAAATCCTCCAAAAAATTACTTAAGTGCTGTAATGAAGTATATGTGCTTAGTTCCTATACACCTCCGGTCATTAGGTCCAACATCCTTCCCCTTCTTCATCACTTTTAACTTCCTCACTAACCTTTTCCACTTCCAGTTTCTGACTTCTATTCTTTCCTTTCGCTCACTAGCTCCCCAAAGTACTCCTATCTTCCCATCACACTCTAAAAAGAGAAAAAAAATTTGTGAAACAAATGTTAAAAATCTGACCAAAATAAAAATAAATGACAAGAAATCTAGTAAATTTTTTAGCAACGAGAAAAAAATACATTAATTGAGTATTCAATTTAAATTTGGTTGGAATTACCTTTTTTATTACTGTACATATTTTTATAATGTATTATTTCTGCTTAATATAGTCATTACAATTATTATTCCCAGTATAGTTAATTTATCTGATACTCCTTAATTGCCATTTTTTTGCTTTTTACAAACAGGAAAGACTGTTTAAAACTTCTCAAACATCTTCTACACCTGTGTAAAGAGAAAAACTCAGACTTGGACAAGTTCTGCTCGTACCATGTGAAGACTACACTCTTCCACGCCTGCTGCTCCAGAACTAAAGACAACGAATGGAAGGCCTCAGATCTGAGTCGCTGCTTTGAGACTCTCCTGCAGGACTTTGAAGGTTACTTAAGAAATGGTGAACTTAGCAACTTTTTCATCCCTAGTCAGAACCTGCTCTCTGACATTGCAAAGAGTGAGTGTATAACTTTAGCGGACTGTATCAAGGAACAACGCGAAATGGGGTTTCCTGTTTTTAAACAAGATCTTGGAATTTCACCTTAGGTGCTGGGTTAGAGTTGCTTTTATTCTGACCACATGTGAAATGTCCTTTAAGTGAAGGATGAGGAACTAAACCCAATATTATTTCAATGAAAAGAAACAACTGTCTTATGATTCTTATGATGCTTAATTTTGTTGTTTTGGCAGCTACAATTAAAAAAAAAATTGGCAATTGTTGCCTAAACATTTCCTATTTCTATATTTAATTCAAATATAAAACTGGACTTGAACACATCTATAAGTAAACCTTATCTGATGCTGAGGTAGTGGGCATCCACAGGGGTCCAGATTACACAGAAAACGAGTCCAGCCTGTTAGACCGATGGGTTCGTTTTGAAATGATCAGTCCTTTGATTCTGTTCCTTTTTCTGTGGATGAAGCTCTTAAAGCTCTCCTCTCACTGGACACTAAAAAAATTGCAAATCCAAATATTTTACAAATATAGTTTCTGAAAATTTCAGCTGACGTCATTGCAAAAACCTTTAACAAGCATTTTTCATTTGGCTCTCACTCAAAATGTCATCTCAAAAGCTTAGAAATCTCTGTGTACTCTGTTAAAAGGAGGGGACCTTACCTTGACAGTTAGACTTATTTCCAGTTTTTATTTGTTTTGTCAAATTTTCTTGAAGGGTTAGCAAGTAAAGATTTTTTTGAGAAATAACATTATTTCTTTGTAAAAATAAAGAAAAAATATCACAGCATCTTTAAAAATGGTTAATGATGAAATTGAACCAATGGACAAGAAAGAATATCAACTTTTTTTTCTATCTTTTAAAGCCAACAAAGAGCAGCCATTGCTCAACAATACGGAGATCAGCAGAGCAAACATAGGCTAGCTTAAAAATGACCTCTCTGAGGTCTCAGTGTGTTAAGTATGAAGGTATTTTGTCTAATGTATTACATGTCATGGGTCCCCCCAAGGTTTTACTTTGAGGCCACTTTTATTTACTGTTTATGTTAAGAATTTAGGTTTGAGTGGTTCAAACTTTACTTTGTTTATACTGATAAGGTCATTTACTGCCAAGACTCTACCCTCAATCTCCATTTTTTGCAGGCTGATTTGATATGGTAGTTCTGCTTGAGAAGAATGCTATAAAAACTGAAATAAAGGCATTAAAATTGTAACCCTGCACTTTGAAATGATGCAGTAAAAGCATTTAGGTGTTTTATTTTATGGACTTTTAATTTTCAGACCTCATCCTGAAAACCTCTAAGAAGCAGAAGCTAAGTTTTTTTTTCAGTATCAAATATTGTTTATCCATTAGTGACAGTAAATAAACTGAGGCTACGTTCCTTCCTCTGCTACATTATGGCGATCTGCTGTGCATGCACACCCCAGCTCAATGCTTGCAACGATGGGACATTGTTTACTACTTTTGTGCTTTGAAGTTTGTTACAGGCTGCAGAAAATTGTGTAGCAAGTCTTGTACCCTATGCCAGAACTTGGTAGCCTTCCCTGGCTAAAGACAGACTAACACATTGGTACATTTTTATTTATGTCCCCACTTTTAGTCCATTTCCTTTTAACCTTTGTTAATACATATAACTTTTGCTGTTTTTATCTAGCATTTTGCTGTTTTTATCTAGTATTTTGCTGTTTTTATCTAGCATTTTGCTTGGTGCTGCTGTGTTCAGACTTGGGACTCTGTTGAAAAAAGTATTTTGTGATCTCAATGAGAGTTACCTGATTGAATAAATAAAAAAAATACATGAAAAAAAAAGATGTAGTGTTGCATGTTTCATTCTTGGATCATACAACTAATAAGATATTTATGCCAAAAGATATTTACACAGGGTGAGATGTTCTTTTAGAGTTAGAATTTATTAATCCAATTTCACTCAAATCAAACAATTACCACAAGATATTCAGTCCAACAGAAATCAGAACTTAACATTTGTCTAATCCACAAAAGCAGATTTAAAATAGCATTTAAATGTTTTAAAATCGTGGTAATTATGTGTTAAGGTAAACAAATAACAGAAAAGCATGTAAAAAAGAAAAACTTTCAAACCAAAATCTAGAAATTACAAAGCACATTCAAAGAGAGGTAGTTTCAGACCATACTCCATCCTGTTGAAGAAAAAGATGTTTTGTCGCAATTATTAAACAAATATCATTTGATTGTTTTCCATTTACAGTAAGATTATCTAACTAACTATTGATGTAAAAAAATCTGTTGGCAAAATTTTCATTAACTAGAATCATATTTTGTTATGTAACCATTGCTAATTCCAAGTATGAGGATATTTTAATTTTCCCGCTTTCATTTTTATGCCAGTAGTTGTACTTCTCTTTTTTTTTTATTCTTTCATGAAATGAACTGTGAAACAAGTTGCTAAATCAGCTGAATGGGGCTTGACACGCCTTCCAGTGAATCATGACCGGTACATATTTGTTGAGTGCATTTAATATGGGTAAGGCCAGATGTAGGTGTGTGTTTGTGCTTTAAATTACACCTGTATAGTTAAATAGTCTTTAAATAACTCTTAGTGCATTGTAAGGTGCAGGTCACCTTGTGTTTTGTGTGGACTTGCATATGAGCCACTCACTAGAATCCCCAGTTTTGGTTTCGGTCTCGGCCGTCTCTCCCTCCCCACTCTCTCCTTCTTCCTCCTCCTCCTCTTCCTTCTCTTGGGTAACACATGTCTCTCTCCCTCTTGTGCTTCTCATATCTTTCTGCCATGAGCACCAACTCCTCGGGGACATCCTATTAGAGTAAAAAAAAAAAAGTTTGAAACATAAAAACTCAATAAGGCTCCTGGTAATCTTAGCTTTCATTTTGTGTGATAACTAAGGTGTTCTTGCTAACTTGTCCAGCCCGTTCCAGGATAGAAATCAGCTCTGATGCCATCCGCCAGTTGTCTCTTGTTATCAAGGTAATCGAAGCACCTGATCGTCTGTAGGAAACATGCACCAGCATCACAAATTAACACAAGAACAATAAACTTCCAAGCATATGTAAGTCTATAAAGTGATTCTTACCCTGCCCGGCCAGTGCGGCCCACACGATGGACATACTCCTCTATGTTTCGTGGGAAGTCATAGTTAAAGACGTGTGTTATGTCATGGACATCCAACCCTCGAGATGCTAGGTCCGTCGCAACCAGGATGCGAACTCGACCTGTAAAAAAATGTTAAATAAATAAAAATTGTATAAATAAACAAACACTTTGATATTTCAACTTATTTTTGGTAAAGAATCACCCATACAAAAGAAACCATAAGCTCCCAGTTTGTTTAAAAGTTATTACACACCATCTTTAAAGTCCTTCAGAGCTTCTTCACGGACACACTGTTCACGATCACCATGGAGACACTGCACAGCAATACCTTGCAGGCACATGTCACTCGACAGGTCATCAGCGCTGTTTTTTTGTTCCATTGTAAAACACAAAGCAAACAGTTAATGAAGATGGTGCTTCTGATATATGTTGGTTGGATTCCAGTATTTTTCAGGAACCACGAATTAAGAGTGGCAAGAAAAAAAAAATCTGTCCCATTTCCAAGCAGTGGTCAACTCCACACTCACATAAGTTTCTTGCCAACAAAGACGAGAACTTTATCCAGTGGCTGCATGCTTCTAATGAAGTCAAACAGATAGGACTTTTTCTCCTCTTCGTGAACAATCAACAGAGTCTGCAGCACTGTGTTAACTGCCTGACACACAAAGACGCACACGAAACATGGAAATGAGTTTCACAATCACACTGTGCTTCGTTATTCCAGAAATTGGGCATATTTTACAATTAAACGTGTATTTACAAGGAACCAGAATTCATTCTCATTTAAAAAATATGACTTGTCAAAGTATTCGATTGTTCTTACAGCCAAGTCCAGGGTGCCTACATAAACCATCATAGGATTCTTCAGGTAGGATTTGGCCAGTCTTCTTACACCTGTGGGCCAGGTGGCACTGACACATGGGTTCAAAACAAAAATGTAAGATTTAATTTTTTGCTAAGTTTGTAAAAACAAACAAACAAACAAATAAATAAATAAATAAATGCTGCAAAAAACTAGAATGCAGAACAATCACTGTAATTTATTATCAATTATAACTTTTGGAGATCCTCTTATAAAAAATTTAAACAAAGCTGAGTCCTATCTTGAGTGTAGATCAGGTTTTTGTTTTACAGATGTGAACATTTCCCTATTTCAACCTTGAATTAAAAACCTCCATGGGGCTATTTCAGACAGACAGGACACCACATTGTTCTTGTGACTTATACAATATACAATATATACAATAAGTACCTGTAGCTTTCAGATCAATCATGTGATAAAACTTAAACGTTTTACCTGGTCATGACAGTTTGTCGATCTGGACGGACGTCCAAAAGAATCTTCAGAATCTGGGGTTCAAAGCCCATGTCAAGCATACGGTCCGCCTCGTCCAGCACCTTTTCCCAACAATAAAAACCATTTCACACAAAGGGCAGCTTTATTTCTATTAGTGTAGACACTTAAGAACTGTAAACATGCAAGATTTAGGTGTTTAAGACAATTTTTCCAGAGTGTGACAGTGTGATTTCCATTAAGCTTTTTAAAATGCACAAACATGAAAAACTATGAAATGGAAACCTCTGCATTATCTAACCTTCATTTAACTAGACAAACTGCATTAAGATCACAGATCTATTTTGCAATGGAGGTCTGGGCCTGAAAGCAACCCATTGTACATGTTTTTGGTCTGTGGGGGAAACTGGAGAAAACCAACGAAAGAACAAGGAGAACATACAAGCTCCACACAGAAAGACCCCAGATCCGATCCGGGGATCAAACCCAGGACCTTCTTGGTGTGAGGTATCAGTGACAACTACTAACCAATCGTGCTGTCTGGTTAAATAAAGGTTAATTACTAAATAAATAATCTATGTACCATCCAAACTTGCCTTAAAAAAATAAAAATAATAAAAACACAAAATCTCACCACGTAGGTGATTGAGCGAAGATTGATGAGCTCATTCATCTGTAAATCATTGAGTCGTCCCGGTGTAGCAATCACGATGTCCACACCGCTCTGCACCACATTAATCTGGCCTCTCCTATCACCGCCACCATAGATACAGACGCTGATGGAAGAGGGAGAGAGAAACATTTGATCAAAAGTACCTTAATTAGGATTTTAAAAGATAGAGAATTTCAAAAATCCAGTTTAGGTGCTCATGTTTACCTTTTGTAGCCCTTGTACTGGTACTTGCTGCACTCAGCTTCAATCTGCAGTGCAAGTTCTCTGGTAGGGGTCAGCACCAACATGCCTGGACCATTTCGCTCAGCTCTGGGTCTGTTAGTACACAAAGGACAAAAAATACACAACCATGTTGTGATGCTCACATTTAAAATGAACAATTTGGCTGTTTGTAGAGAGGAACACAAATACTTGAAAAATAAAAAATAAATCTTGTACTCACAAAGGCTGTCCATCCATGTGGATGAAGCCTGGTAGCAAATAGGCCAGAGTTTTCCCTGTTCCTGTCTGAGCAATTGCTATAAGGTCCTCTCCACTGAGTAACACTGGCCATGCCTGAGACTGCGAAGGTAAAAGAAACACACACATAGCAGCTGCATAAGATTTCACCATGTTTAAATACAAGCTTTAAAAAAATACTTTTCTTATAATTAAAATTTTCTTAGATAAAACAGTAATTTATAACAAAATTCAGGCCAAAGAATAACAGCAAGCATCTGATGCCTACTGATATGAAATTTAAAGTTCTGAAATATAAAAACCATCACTATGAAATGAATCATTGCTCTTTAAAATAAGAGTCATTTTTATTTTTAGGATTTAGCTTTAAGTTTCTGCTTTTATTTGTTACATCAACCAACTCAAAACTGGGATTTGGACATATTTAGATCAATCCATTTTTATTGACAGGCACATTTGTATATAAAAACAAACAAAAAACATTTTATCTAGTGACATTCCAAAACCATTACTTCACAGTTTCTCTTGATGAAACATCAAAGTAAAAAAAAAAAATTCAAGTGAATGAAGGGTTTCATTCAACAGCTAAGCAGGTAGTAAGTATGTAGATATAAAAACCTTCTTACTGTCAAGTTGGATTATTTAGAATTGGTTGTGCAGCTATTCGAAAGTACACAATAGATATTATCTTAGCAAACCCTACCAAGCCTATTACAGTTAAATGAAAGTGAGAGACGATAATTACGCACTTCCATTTCCAGAAACGGTAAGCTTGTTTGAAATTCTGCATCAACATAAATCTGCTGAGCAACACCTGTGAATTTGTATGCACATAGAAACGTTTGCTTTTACCAATTTAAAATTTACATGATAGGCTCAAAAAATATTTCACCAAAGAGGGGAGACCATTGGTGAAAATGGATAAGAATCTCTGATTATAGCAATGACAAAAACTTAATGATGTTACTCTGAGCTGTCTGTCCCCAGGCTCAGTTTGGGGACAGTGGTTTATTCCCAGTATCTGAGCTTTTACTGCAAAATCCAAGTCATAGTTGATCAATTGCCTACAAAATATGTTTATTGAAAAATATTTAAATATTAGAGCATGACAAACCAATTTTAACAATAAAAAGGATGTAAATTCAGCAACATCAACAAAATTGTGCAATATTTCAATGAAGGTTTGCTTGTTTGTCTTTGTGTCTATGGTATATAATGATGTGATTGTGATGCTGTATTTCTGAGTGTTTTATGTGCTGCAGAACAGGAACCTGCTGTAAAACAGCAATTATGCTGAGTCAGGCTTGATTTTTAGTAATCTTTTCCTGTTYAATCAATAAAGCAAATCAAATCAAGGGAAGTGATAAATCATTTATTGGGATTCACCAGAATGGCAATCATTTACCATAAACTGGGTTCTACTTCCTCTCGAAAAGTTGCATTGTCTTAAAAAAGTTATTTTACGCAACTCTCAATGTCTTTCAGTTTCATTTCAGTTTTTTTGGAAAATATAAATACAGACTTTAAAAAAACTAAATAAAAAAACTTTACATTAAGGAAGCTAATATGTGGGTATTTCCAAATTGTTGTAACTCGTGGGGCTCGCCCATTTCAACATGTAAGTTGTAAAGACAGGTATTTTTTCACATCTAACCAAAGATATGAAAAAATAATAAACGCATTTTTAATTGCTTGGAAGAGAGTTTATACTAGTTTTATCTATGATTGTACCTTTAGATATTTCTTCAAGTATTTGTTTCTTGTTAAATAAATCATTTCAACAACAAAAGCAGCAGTATTTATTAATCCAATGAGGAGGAATTTCCCATCTTTAAAATTTTATTACGTGCTGTGCGTTATCAGTGTGATGTATGGCTACAAAAGCAGACAGTGTCACAGGTTCAACTGCCCAGTTGAGTTTTTCTGCATGGATTATGAATGTTCTCCCTGTGCATGCTTTCTCCATGTTCTTTTAATTTAATCAGTCTAAAGCATGCATACTCAAAGTTGTGCATGAATGATTGTCTTGTTTCTCTCTGTGATGTGTTAGTGCGATGTCCAGAGTGAACCCTAACCTTGGTTTAATTATCGCCGGTGAAAGGTAGCAGCTCCTCACAACACACAAAACAAAACAAAAACACAAGCAGGTAAACAAAATAGGAAGGAAAAAAGGGGATCATACCTGAATGGGGGTTGGTTTGACAAAACCAACACGTTCAATATTTTCCATGATCTCTGGATACATTTCAAAAGCCTCCAGAAATGTGCGGCAAGGTTTGGGAATGGGTCGTTTTGTGTCTGCCTCTTTCAAATCATCCACAAAAATATTGTTGTTCTCCTTCCTATGGAGAAAAAAAATACAAGACAAATAAAAGAATTATGTTAAAAAAACAGATGCCTGAGAACGGCTTCCATAATTGTTGACTGCTCCACAGACCCCATCAAGTATTTCAGGTAGTTTTTATCATTTGAATAAAAACTTTCATTTTTCATGCTTTCTAAAGTTCAGTAATTTACAAGTGCAGAATATAAACAGTTTAAACACTGAGCACCTGTTATTCAGAGTGGCTTTCTTTGAAATAGAAGAAAACTTGTAGCCAATTCTTTCTGATTTGCTAACAACTATTTGGGTCTTTCAAAGACTTAACAGTAACACTGTGTAACAGGTGGCACCACAAGGTGTCGCAACCTCCTTAGTCTAAGCTCCTATAAAGAGGAAGCTAGCGGCACTGTGGAGAAGTGTCAATTTCCTGCAGGTGTGTGACCATGTGTGTTTGGGCCCACACGTTCCATTGTTCAGCGATTGTGGTAGGTGTTAACCTCCTATTTATGTTCTCGTGAGACGAGCGGGGGAGTTTTTAAGTTTCTGTTCTCTGCCCGGGAAGGCTCAGTGTGTGTGAGCGCGGGACACAAAATGGTCGCCGAAAAAAAGAGTTTGACAAAGAAAATAAACGTCGTGTTTATTTGGACTTTACATGGTAGCAGAGGATGGTTACCAATTACAGAGTTCCGCCAAAGTTTGATGAAGCCAGACCATAAGAGTGCTGGAAAAATGAGGTTAACATCTGGACGCGTTACAGTCTTGGAAAAGAAGAAACGGGCCCTCGCTGTGGCTCGAAGGAAGAGCCAGAGAGATTGCACTGGAGATATCTACGGACTTGAACAAAGATAATGGTATAGAAACCTTGTTTAACAAACTGGATACGATATTTTTAAGAAAAGAAAAGGACCAAGCTTATGAAGCATACTCCCATTTTTACGCCAGCTCTATAGACAATACTATGTTTATGGCAGACATCATCATAGATTTTGAACGTTATAATCGTATAAAGAAATATAACATGACCCTGTGCTAGCATTTAAACTCTTGGATGCTGTTTGTCTCGATGAACAAAGCAGGCAGCTTGCTCTCACAGCATGCACAGACTTAACATTTGCCTCCATGAAGTCAGGATTGAAGCGGATTTTCAGAAAAATAACTGCTGGAACAGGAAACGGCACAGAGACTCAGGATGCTGTTTATTTTTCGGAGCAAAAACCAATGGGCAGATTCAGATAAAGCAACGGCTCATCAAAAGGCGGACAGCGGCAGCAGGGCAAAAATCCCCTCGACAAATATGGTAAGCGAACAAAATGCGCTATTTGTAAGAGCACATACCATTGGGCCAAAGACTGTCTGCATAAAAGAAATGAAGTAAAGTTGACACAGGATGAAAATATGTAACATCACTTTATTTACAAAGACTAAGACAGATTCAGAGATATTTCTAACTGAGTCATTGGGATCAGCTGTCATTGATACTGCCTGCACTCGTACTATATGTGGTGAAAAGTGGCTCGAAAGTTACATAAAAGACCTAAGCAAGAGTCAAATTGCCAAACTGTTGCAAACAGACTTCAAGTTGCAGACCTTTCAGATTTGGAGATGGTTAGGTGGTACACTCCAACAGAAGAATAAAAATTTCTGCTAAGATTGGGAAAACAAGGTGCAACATTGAACTGAAGTGGTGTCTGCTGACATTCCTTTACTGCTGAGTAAAATGTCTCTGAAGAGAGCTGGAACTGTTTTAGACATGCAGAATGACAAAAAAAATATCTCGTCTTTTTTGTTATTTTGTTGGTTTTGTTTGTTTGTTATTTTGTTTTTTTATGTATTTATTTATGCATTGTTATAAACATGTATACTAATTGAATTTTGAACTATTTGGACTGTTACTGTTCTGTTTATGTTCTAATAAAAATATTTAAAAAAATAAAATAAAAAAAGACATGCAGAATGACAAAGTTGTCATGTTCGAACAGCAAAACCCTCTTGAACTCACCAGTTCAGGACATTACTGTGTGGATATAAGAGATGAAGATGCAAAAGTGAGTGATAATGAAAATTAAATCCTCGTCACAGCAGATGTCTGCAAGAGAGAAACGCAAAGTGCTCCTGAAACTTCACAGTTTGGACATGCCTCAGCAGACCGGCTGCAGAGACTCATCCAAAGCTCTGGAAATTCTGATAAAGACTGTCCAGTGATTTTGCAGGAAATCATTCGTGACTGTGAGATATGTCAGAGATATAACAGGACAAAGTCAAAACCTGCTGTTGGTTTGCCTTTGGCTTCAGAGTACAATGAGACGGTGGCAATGGATCTAAACGAGTTGGAATCTGGAATCTGGTACCTGCACATCATCGACCACTTCACACGCTTCAGCGCTGGAAACATCGTGAGGACCAAGAAACCCTCTGAGATTGTCAACTCCTTCATTCATTCATGGATAAGTGTTCATGGAGCCCCTAAGCAGATTTACACTTACAACAGTGGAGAGTTCAACCATGAAGACGTTAAGAGACATGGCAGAAAAGTTGAATATTGAGACTAAGACCACAGCGGACTACAGCCCCTGGAGTAATGGACTATTGGAGAGACACAACATGACATTAATAGAAATCCTTCTGAAGGTGAAAAAGGAAAATGGGTGTAGCTGGGAAACTGCTCTGGACTGGGTTCTCGTGGCCAAAAATAGTATGATCAGTGTACATGGTTATAGTCCACACCAGCTTGTGTGTGGTCACAGTCCTAATCTTCCTTCTGTTTTGGTTGATAAACCACCTGCTCTAGAGGACACTTCTATGAGTACTAGAGTGGGTCAACATCTAGCAGTATTACATGCTTCCAGAAAAGCTTTCACAGAGGTGGAATACTCAGACAGAATCAAAAGAGCTTTACGAAAACAGCTAAGACCTACAGATGAAAATATGAGACAGGAGACAAAGTGTACTATAAGAGAACAGATAGTACAGAGTGGAAGGGTCCTGGTGAAGTTATTGGTCAAGATGGAGTTGTAGTTTTTGTAAGACATGGTGGAATTCTTGTTCGAGTACATCAGTCCAGGCTAAACAAAGTAAATGTAAATAAGTAAGTAAGTAAAAGCTTATTTATATAGCGCCTTTCACAGAAAAGGATTTCACAAGGTACTGTACAGGATGAGAATGAAACAGTCCGGTCTAATCTTCCTGAGAAGGCCAAAGAAAGTGAAAATATGGTTCATACTGATGTGTCAGGAAGCTCAGATGATGAAATGAGTGTAAATGGAGAAGAACAAATCACTGACAGTACAAAAACAGAGGACAGAAATGTCACACGACTGAGACACATAATGAAACAGAGAGTGAGGCAAATACTACTACTACTAAGGGTCCCATAGAGGTAAAACTAAAAACAGGTCAGACAGTGACATTTACAGACAGAGATCATGGCACCAGATACACTGTCAGAGTTTTAGGCAGAGCAGGAAAAGCAAAAGGGCAATACAAAAACTGGTACAGTGTACAGAATATTGAACTTGATGGTAATGAAGGACAAAAACAAGCAGTGGACATGTCACAGGTTGAAAATCTTCATTCTGAGCCTGAAAATAGAAATGATGAAGATGTACCAGTACTCATTGTAAAAGATGTTTCTTTTGATACCGTTAAACAGCAAGAAATTGAAAACTGGAAAAATAATGATGTATATGAAGAGGTCATGGACAAAGGTCAAAAATGTATTTCGACTAGGTGGGTCTGTACATTAAAAGAAACTTCAGAAGGAATCATTCCCAAAGCCCGTCTTGTGGCAAGAGGTTTTTGAAGAAGTCAATATTAACGAGTTACAGAAAGGCTACCTACACACTGCAGGTCTTAATGCTCAGTTCCGATTTTTTGAAAAAATCCGATCTTTTTGTGTGAACATTCACATTACATTTTAAATGTGACCTGCATCAGACCCCTGTGTGAACGTAACACAGCACTGATGTGACACGCATGCGCAGTAAAAGACGTGAAGTCTCATCAGCCGGCTTGTTTGTTTACAGAGCTAGCATGGATGCTACATTTTGCACATRYAATCMGAAYTTGTTGTTTAATCAGAGKCGATTAAATAATTATCTGACKTGCTTCTTTAGTTCAGTGTTTARATCTGAABCTGCCTCTGACCGGGATGCTCCAGTGAAGCTTTTTTTTTTTTTTGAACGAAACTACGAGCTGGAAAAAAGTATCGACCGAGTATCGAACTTCAGGATCGATACTCTCCGTGACCAGGCTGGACATGTTATTATCAAACTATCTACGTGGAAAATGAAAAGTAAAAAGATGAAGCAACTGGACTTGTGTTTTGGAGCTGTAAACACATGGAGCTACAGATTTAAACAGCGAGACCTGAGGTTAGTGTCTAATCGAACCTTCACCCCCTCCTCACTGATGAAAAAGTCAGATGAATGTGACATGAGCGTTCACACTGCAGTCACTTTGAAAACATCAGATATGTATCCGATTTAAAACCACATACTGAAACGGCCTGGGTCGGATTTGAAAAAATCGGATTTATCTCGTTCAGACTGTCATAAAAAAATCGGATATGAGTCAGATGGGTCAAAAAAATCGGATTTGGGTCAGATTTGCCTGCAGTGTGAACGTAGCCAAGGATTCCCCTACATGTGCGTCAGAGTCACTCAGACTTCTGCTAGCAGTGATTTGTCAAAATAAGTGGAAAGTTCATTCTATGGATATAAAATCTGATTTTCTACAGGGTGTGGAATTTCCAAGACATTTTTATTCGTCCTCCACTTGAAGTGGGTGTAGGGAATGTTCTATGGAAACAAAAAAAATGTGTATATGGACTTGCAGATGCTTCCATCTACTGGTACAACAGTGTAAAATAACTCATGCTCAACACTGGAGGTGTTATGTCAAAAGTTGATCCTGGAGTGTTTTACTGGCAGAATAATGAGTCTTAAGTGACAGGAGTACTGGTGTGTCATGTGGACGATTTTCTGTAGGCAGAATCAGAGCACTTTGTAACAAAAGTTATCCCTGCACTTAAGCCAGTTTTTCTCGTTGGCCGTGAAGAACATGGAAGGTTTTCCTATGTGGGAATGGACATTACCACCGTAGGTGATGTAGTACAGGTGCATCAACAGAATTACATTGACAATCTCTTCCTCTCATATGTTTCACAGATAATCATTCTTTATTTGATGCACTTAAATCCACAAAACAGGTCACTGAAAAGAGACTCAGCTTAGAAATAAGCAGCATTAAAGAACTTTTACAAGCAACAACCATAAAAGAAGTGCACTGGTCAGTAGTAAAGTCACAACTTGCTGATGGCACTTCTCTTCTGCTTCTAAAGGCACTGGAAGGTGTATGGGTTTTGTGGTACTATGTGCATCATTTTATACATGCTTATTTACAATTGCTTCTTGTTTGTATTAATATAAATATGTTCACAAAAATCTGAAATGTTATGGTATTCAGATATTTTTTGACTATTTTTGTAACCAGAGTGTATCCCCCAGTTTAAATTTTTTTTTTATTTAAAGAGAGAGAGAGAGAGATTGTTAAGCTCCTAGTTATGTTATCGCAAGACGAGCGAGGGAGTTTTTAAGTTTGTGTTCTCTGCCCGGGAAGGCTCTCTGTGCGTTATGGTTGGGCAAAATTGGCAAAAAAAAAAAAAAAATTAATCACGATTAACTGTGGTATTTATCTGATAACAATTAATTTGACGATTAATCCCCTGGAGTCCCTGGACCACTGCATACCCTAGTCAAATGACAAATTTAGTGGGAAAGATTTGCTCTTTGTAAAAATCTGTCCCAAATTGTGTCAAAATTACAGACTTCAGGCTTTACAGCAATTTTTAAATTGTGTTGATAGATAAACTACAAAACTTTTTCTTTTTAACGTTTGTCATATTTGAAGTGGAGAGGAGCACCGAGCGGACTAATGGTGGCATTAATCACATTAATCGTCAATTGCCAAAAAGTAATCAATTAATGTTTTTCTGACGATTAATTGCACACGATACGATCATGCCCAACCCTACCGTGTGTGAGCGCGGGACACAAAATGGTGGCGGAATTAAGAGTTTGGCAAAGATAATAAATGTCGTGTTTATTTGGACTTTAGAACTTCCTCATGTAATTATTCCATAACACTGTTAATCTTAAACATCTGAGACCCAATCCTGCTTCAAGTGTTACCTTGGGTGTATTGCATGTAGTATTTCTGCAGTAAACAGAGTCTGCTATATAAGTTCGCAGTGAACATTGCTAGTGTTAAGTTTTGCGGGTTCGTCTGCCTGAGTGGTGTTAAAATTGAGTCGGCGGTTGTTGAACTGACAGCAGATGGATGAGGTTAATGGGAGATACCCCTGTTTATGTGTCAAATATTGACTTTATTTTTTGCAGTTGATTATTCTTCTGCTCCACTCAAGTCATAACAACTGTCCACTAGCACATGCTTTACTTTAAAATATATACCTAATGCCGTAAAGCATTTTGAAGTTATCTCTAATGGTTGGAGAGCAGTGTCGAATGACACCAAAAAACATTTCTCTTTGGGCAAGTGCCAGTTGTCGAGGAGCATTGGATGAAAGGTAAAGCCCCTGAGGTTATGAAAATTGTACAGATTTGCTGTTCTAACAACTTAATAGTATTTGATTAACAATGAAAAATGAAAACCCATCTACCATAAAATTGTGATGAAATTACCTCCATTCACAGACTTCTTCAGGTGTGAGCATGGACACACTTGCTGCCTCAGTGTAAAAGTTCTTCTTCATAGGTGGAAGGTCTGAGAAAAGTTGCAAATAGGCTCTAAGTGCAGGGTCCAAGTTACGAATGAGACAACCATACAAATAAATATCAGGTATTACATTACAAGAAGCCTGCAGCGATGTAAACTAACTGTACCCTTCTATAAACTAAAGGCTGCACTGAATCAGAATTAACCAGAATTGGTTAATTTACTATCACCTTTAATGATCCAACAGCAAGCCATATTGACCAAATGTTAGAGAATCAGCACTTTCACCTTTCCATTTGAGCTCCTCATACATTTTCTTGTTCTCCCGGATGGCATTCCAGTCTATGGATGTACGGGCTGGAGTAACTTTTGAAGCCTCTAGCTCTGCATTAGACCAAACAGAACCACTGCTTGTTCCTTGGTCTGCTCTGCTTCTGAACCCATCAGTGTACCGTCCTCGACCTGGACCTCAGGGGAAAAAAAATCTCACTTAAAAAAAAGTTTTAACTACAAACAGCAATACAAAATAACTTTTTTTTAAATCAACAAGCGAGAAACACTTTACATTCACATAGATTTATATATACTTTGAATAGATTTTGATATATACAGGTTCATGCAGGTTTCCGTAAGTTAAATTTAAGACTTTTTAAAGACCTTTTAAGACGATTATGACTGACATTTAAGACCAAACAAACACATTAACAGAAACATTCAAATGGTCCCAGAAAATTTAATATGGAAACCTTTAATTGTTATCAATTTAGTTATTAAAGAATATTTAAATTTTAATTCAAAAACACCAACTTATTTTAATGAAACGGTCATATCTATGAGAGCTTCATATTGACTCCTGTGGACGGCTTCCAACAGAGTGCAAAAATCACTGATATCAGCAAAGTCTCATTGAAAACACACTTTCCCATGCTTAAACAATGAGTAGTGGACATGACTAAACTTTTTGTTGTTTTTTTTTTTGGGGGGGGCGGGGTGAACAAGCTGCTGTATGCGGGGGGTTGTAGTGACAAAGAGGTCAAAAACATGGAAGCAAACTGTGCCGTTTTTTGCCTGCAGTTATCCCAGGATTTGTAGTTTAACATGTACAATGATCGGCAGCAAACTTAGCACTTCATGAAGACAGATCACGTCAACCTCTGATTACAGCTCTTTACTCCATGCAGCCAAAACTTCTCAGGAATGATGAAAAGTAAAAACCAAGGAGCAGGCTACAGAGCATCTGTCTCAGGTTCTGTTGCACATTCAGGCTCTGGGTTTTTCTGTAAATTTTCAGAAAAGCTTATTGACTCTGAGTCAGCAGTTTTCTTTCCTCGGGTTAGAAATATGCTCCCTGTCGGGCAGAGCGCGTCTCTCAGAAAACAGAGCAGCTGCGTTTCACCGCTGCCTCACTCAGTTTCAACTGGGACGCAAACTGTGTTTTCAGACCATTCTGCAACTGTTGGGCATGATGGCTTCCATGATCGCAGTAGTTCCACTCGGGCTGCTAAAAATGTGCCAGTTTCAGCGCTGGTCCCGCTCTCACCGGCTGTGTGCATTACGTCACCGCCACAGAAAGCTAACGATAACTGCCTCATGCATGAAGGCTCTCAGTCCTTGGAGGGAACCCGGCCTGCTGTGCCGAGGCTCACAGATAGGGAGAGTGTCCTTTCACAAAGTGGTATCCACAGACACCTCCCAGGTGAGGTGGGGGGCTCTGTGCGATGGTGCAGCAGTGAGGGGGGTTTGGACTCTGAAGCAGTCCAGACTCCACATAAACTGCCTGGAATTGTTAGCGGTTCTGTTAGCACTGAAACAATTTTGTCCAGTTCTGCAGAACCAATATGTTCTGATCAGAACATGGTACAACACATGGTGGCGCCGCTGCACAGCTGGGCTTGGTGAAGAGCAGTTACCGAACTGAGGAGTGACTGTGATGGCGACAGTATATATATGTGCAGGCGGAGCCTGACGTGTCGTCATCACGTCACCTGCCTAAAGGCGTGATTAGATGTGGCTTCAGCCAGAGCTGTGTGAAGCTGACACCCCACCCACGTCAAAAAATCCATAAAATAGTCAGAATCGTTAGTGCTCCGTTTGTGCAGGTTTGTGCCGTTAAAAGTGTTGTTTGTGCAGTTTTGGTTTCCGAGATATTAAATATTATATATTTTGGTCATCTACAGTTCACCATCACCCCATATCGCTCCAAAAACAAACCAAAGTGGGCTAGGTCGTTAGTGCTCCGTTTGTGCAGGTTTGTGCAGTAAAAACTGTCGTTTGTGCAGCTTTTGTTTTCGAGATATTAGCAGTTATAATTTCGGCCGATGACGTCACCATTTCAGAGCGTGCTGGGGGGACGATGATGTCATCGCGTTCAAGTAAAAACTTGTAATATCTCAAAAACTGTAACAGCACAAACGCTCATTTCTACTGCACTAAGCTGCACAAACGAAGCACAAAAAAAGTAAACTGTTTTGGTTAATTTCGGAGGTTGCTGGGGGGATGGTGACGTCATAATGAGCTAAAGACATAATGTTTAATATCTCAAAAACTATAACAGCACAAACGCTCATTTTAACTGCACAAACCTGCACAAACGAAGCACTAACCAATCCGCTTACTWGRWTGGATTTTTTGTGTGGGTGGGGTGTCAGCTTCACACAGCTTTCAGCCAGGACACGCAGGGGCGTGGTTTCCCATACATGATGTGTTGTACCTCGTTCCTTTCCTTCAGGGAACAGTAGTTATATGCATAACATTATGTTTCCCTTCACTGCTCCTTATATGAAGCAAAGCGAAGGACAAGAGGCTGGTTTTAACCAGGCTAATACTGAGGTCACAGTTGTCTGAAATTAATTAATTAATTAATTAATTAATTAATTAAATTAATTAAGCCATAAGATGAAAAAAAAATAAAAAAAGAAAAAACTGTACAGTAGGAATGCGCGATATAAACGATATACGATAGAAACGATATAAATTTGTCCTATGATAGAGATCTGTAGTCTACCGGCCAAAGGCGCAATTCTTTTTGATGACGTAACCGGCTGGAGTCAAAACAGAGGAAGCGGGAAGCAGCGTGGCTGAGAGAGCAAATGAAGAGTGGGAAAAACTTATCCGGACCTGGTTTGGGTGTGCGAAAATGAACGCCGAACTGTTTGCATGTTTACGTGATGGCGCGTCCTCCGGTCGGATGACGACCCACCACACTGCCTGCTGCAGTAGGAGCGCGCGCCGCCGCATGTGTGAAGGGCTCGACACACAGGAGGCGACGTCGCTCGCTCTCCATTCATTTCCACACAGCGAGGAGACTGTCTCAGGTGGGACGCACAAAAATCAGTCTGGACCTCGTTTCTCCTGCGGTCATAGCATGACAACACATGGCCGAATGCGTGCGCACTCCAAAGCGCGACTATAATGATTGTCACCCTGCCGGGGCACGCACAGATTAAACACGTGGAGTGCAGAAAAAATAATCTGCAAAGTGTGTAGAAAGGAATAAATACAAGCAATTTGTTTTACCACCTTAAAACGAAGCTGGTGATTCCAAAAACAACATCCAATGGATGCAGATATCTATTACATTAAAGGTTTTGTGTGTGTGTGTGTGTGTGTGTGTGTGTGTGTGTG